CTCTGAATACTATCCTATTAGTCCGTATGGGTTGGTTTGCATGTCCATGTGAACGTGCGTGTGTGCGGATATATATATATCTATATCTATGTATATGTATATATATCTATGTATGTTGGTATGTTTTTAGTATGTGTGTATGTATATAAGATATATATATATATAATATATAATATAGTCTGTGTCTGTCTCTCTCCACGCATCGATCCCGAGAAATTGTGCACTAAAAGTGAAGAGGTAGTTTCTCACAATCCACAAGATAACAATTTGGGTTAATTTACCTAGCCGCTAGTTTGAATATTCGAAGTCATCACACGGCTACAATCACAGCACCTCAAGTCAGTTTACCACATCACTAGCTTCATCAACGTCGACTCACGAAACTCGGAATGAACACATACATAAATACAGTATCGTACAAAGTGTTTACGAATATTGGAATTCGTTTAATTTTTAAACCTGTAGCGAAATACTGTCTTTAACGAAATTTTCCTAGCATGAAGGCAGCAGCAGCACCGGCGGCGACAGTTGCAAGGGCAAAGTAGTGAATTCGGTTCAAACCACTCACCACTACATCAGGAATGTGGCGGTGTGCGAGTTTCATCACGGTCATGTCGAAGTTTGTTTGGGGCGAGAAACGTGCCTTCAAGTCATTCAGATTCGAGTTGATCATAATAGACTTCATGTGACTGAACTCTACAAAGCCTTGGTACCCATGGTACTTGCCGCTGCCCGAATTTCCTACCCCTCCAAAAGGAAGATTCTCGTTCAGCATGAATGTAATGGCATCATTGAACTGGAGACTGCCCGCAGATACGTTCATAAACATGTCCTGTTCGTGTCTATCATGTGTGAACGCATACATGGCTAGTGGTTTTTCTCTTGTTAGAATCGAATCGATCGCTTGCTCGGCATCATCTACTCGCAAGATGGGCAGTATGGGACCGAAGATCTCCTCCTGCATACTAGCAGCAGCGTGGTAAGCCTCAGAGTCCGCCCCAAAGTCTAAAAGCGTAGGCGCGACATAGAAGTCCGAAGCGTCTGTTTCGCCACCATGAACTATGTACTTGCTATCACTCTTTATCATATGAGTTAAGCGCTTGTGATGTGCTGGTACCTTTGCCATACGCCCATACGATTTACTTTGCTGTGGATTGGCGCCGTACTGGGCGACAATCGTTTCTTTCAGCGTGTTTATGAAAGCTTCGGCGATGGAGCTGTCTACGAACATGTGATCGGGTCGTATACACGTTTGTCCAGCATTTAGGCCTAATGAGCCCCACACGATACGCTTGGCAGCTATTGCTAAATTGGCACCCTTGCCAACGTAAACCGGTGATTTGCCACCAAGTTCTAGGATACATTTGGTCAAATTTGGTGCGCCTGCTTTAGCTACCATTCGGCCAAGTCCGGGTGAACCAGTTGCAAAAATAACATCCCAGCGCATTGTCAAAAGATCCTGTAGCTCGTCAAAGCCACCGGAAACAATGCTGATAACTTGCTTGTCCATGTACTTCGGAATTAGCTCACACAATAACTTCATTGTCTCGGGCGAGTGTGTCTCAGCTCCTGTTTTGACAACAACAGCATTACCGGCTGCAATGCTTGCAGCCATGGGATCAGCGATAAGTGTAATTGGATAGTTCCAGCAACCGATAATCAGGGCCGTGCCCAGAGGTTCAGGCTTGATCATGGATGTGGCCGGATAGTTAAAAACATCTGTGTTTACGTGAGTAGCTCTTGACCAGTTATCTACATTGGCTATCATGCTATCAATACCGTTGATTGAGGCTTGTGTCTCCGCCAACCAAACCTCCTCGGGACTCTTACCCAAATCCGCATATACTGCCTTTTGAATAATTTTCTCATTTTCACTTATCATACTTCTAAGAGCCTTTAGTTGGCTCTTTCTCCAGCTTAATGGAAGTGTAGTGCCTGCTCTGAAGGCCGTGTTGGCACGCTTATGAGCGTCGGCACCACAGGTTGGCTCCATTGTAGTTAGGTTATATCTTAAATATAGGAATGTTTCGATGTTCGATGTTACCAGTTTAATAGGTAAGATACTAGTTGCTGCATAGTGAATGCAATACGCTTATATACTTCGTAAGCAGTAGGTAGATAAAGGTAAACTGTAATGTCTTTGAATCAGAAATACCACCAAATTTGACCGATCGTGGTTTCCTTCTAGTGGACTCTCTATAATAGACTCTCTCTCTACTAGAGTGGTAGAGACAGAGAGTGTGACTACAGCGAAGCTCATTAGGTTATGGGGGTACGGGATAGAAGTTGAACGATTACGGTTATAAGGTGATCAGAAGAGCCTACCTAATTTCGTTTGTAGGACTGATTCGTATAGTAAAAGCGCTACGCACTTAAATGTTTAGACCCGCAAGGAGCACCTACGATCATACAAAGGACCGTATATGGAATAAAAGTAGAACGTAAACGTATATTTATTCGATTTATAAGTTTTAACGGAAAACGGTTCGAGGTTCGCTCTACAGTCTATATACAAAAGTAGAGAGATAGAGAGAAAGAGGAAGAGGGACGAGAATGAATGCGCAAAATCATCTCACTACTGAATCAGAACTTCACAAGCTATGTAAATATTTATGCGCAAAATCGCATAAGTTTTATAACATTGCTAAATATGGTATTTCGTCTGCGACTCCAGAGGCTAGGAGATATTTTAATTTTTCAAACCTAAGTTTTTCGACTCTTTGAATTTCAGAAGTGAGAAGTCAGTGGTCACTCAAGTCAGAAGCGAGAAGTGAGATTGCCAGATTGGACTCATTGGAGGCTATGCCTTTTGTTTTCTTTAAAAAACAAATGCTATAGGTCTACTATGTTTTTTTCAAATATTGTATTTATCTCGATTCTGGAATCTGGAGTATAGTAAATACGTATCTTATTGATTTAATTTTTTTTATTGTACATATATTTAATATTATAAAAAAATGAAATTACTTTTGGTTTTTTCAAAAACAAAATATGAGTGTGAACTGTTGAAGTATTTACCAGTATGTGAAATGTGAAGTGTGAACTCAGTCAACTCACTGAACCTGATGTCCTGAGGCTCTGAGGCCTGAGCTGATAAATAAACGTTGTGTCGCTAACTCGCCATAGGCGAGTTAGCGACACGTCGCGGCTCGCGACGGTCGTTTACATGTTTTTTTTCAGACGACATGTCGCGACTCGCGACAGCTGAAGTGTGAAGTGTGAAGTCAGAAGTGTAAACTACATATTTAAAAAAAAAAATTATTTTAGTATAGATACGAATTAAAATAGAAAGACTGAGAGAGTCTGCACAAAGAGACCTAAATAACGACTGTCTGCAGTTCTGCACTCTGCACTGAGCACTCTGCAGCTAACCTCATACCGTTTTTCGTTAAATTTTTTAAAAATCGAATATATATACGTTTACGTTTAGGGTTTAGGGTTTTTCCCCATACTGTCCTTTGTATGTTTATAGGTGCACCTTGAGGGTCTAAATAAACATTTAAGTGTGTACCGATTTTACTACGCGAACCAGTCCTATAAATAAACTTTTTTTGTTCTATTTTCAGGAGGCTATAGGTTTTTTTAATGAAAATCAGAGTTTGAACTTTGAAGACAAAAAGTAGTATTTATAAAAGTACAGTACTGTAGTCTGTATGTATTTACACGTGTCAATTGTCATACCGGATCATATTCCCGATACTAACCACACACACACTCTCTCTCTCTCTACTCTGAACTCTCTCTCTCACTCTACTTTAGTCTTACTACTACTGTATAATAAAATATTTACTACTCTCTATGTAGTAGTAGAGGAGTAGTGACTTACTCTAGAGAGAGAGAACCTGAGAGACTGAGAGACTGAGAGACTGAGAGAGAGAGAAATTCAAATTTGTCGCTGGATGGAAATGTATTTATATTTTATTGTCCTGATCTAGAGCTCAGGGGGACATGACCTAATTAGGCAAAAACTGATTGCGAATTTGCAGGCAGCATAAGACAATAAGTTATGACAAGTCTTGTTGTTCTTTTTGTTTATTGCAAAACAAAACAAACGACATTTTTTATTTCTAGATCAGCACCATACATTTGTTATGGGCATGACGTCAGACTGGTTTTAAACCCATGGATTTTTTGAGGAGCAATAAACCGAATGGCAGCTGTCAAAAAGAGATGACGAATATGTCAGAAAGAAGTTGTAAACCATGACAGCCACTGAGTGAGTTCCTTACTCCAGAAGTAGCTAGTTCACAAATGAGAGTAGTGTTTTGGTGAAAAATGAACCAGTATTTCTACTGGTGGATACCGTTTTAGAAATACTATTAGCCAAGGAATTATATGGGTTTTGATTGAGTATAATTCTCTTTGAAGCAGAAGCAAGACAATATTTCCGAGGATTAGGAAAAGGTAGAAAGTGTGTAAATAGGATTGAAAGTAGATGTAAGACAGCACGTGTTCTAATGTTAACATCTAGTTACTAAACAAAATATAAAGAAGGTTTTTCAGTTTGAGTAATAGAGCTTAATCCAAACTTTTTCTGAGCACAGAACACTATGTTTTTTTATTGTTTTTTTATATAGATTATATATATAAATATATATATATATATATATATATATGATTTAATGATTCGACGGCGCTGGCCGGCTGGCAGTTGGAGCTTTCAGTTTCGGGTGGGCTGTCGGATGATCGAGTCAACAAAAAAACCTCGTCTATTGTATTTATGCATAATTCAAAATTGAGTGACAAAATATTGGTTCAGAACCATGACCCTCTCACTAGGGAAGAAATAAAATAATATGCCTGATCGGACTGTTGTCCGAATCAGAACTTCAGACAGTTTGATAACTTGTTTTTAAGAATCCGGAATTACAGGAATGTCGTTGAATTATGACTACCCATTAAGAGAGGCCAGTTTAAAAAAAATAAAGAGGTGTAAATAGACTGTATCAATTTATTGACTGTAAGCCTAAGCTCATTACGTTATGGGGGTATGGAATAGAAGTTTAATGTAAACGCATATTTATTCAATTTCAAACCGTTGTGTGATCAGAAGGGCCTATCTAAGTTCTTTTATAGAACTAGTTCATGATTTTAGAGAGCAGTACATATTTGAATGTTTAGACCCAAAAGGAGCACCTATGAGCATACAAGCACACGGTGGAGAAGAAAGAAACAATCGCAAAAGCCGTGAAATTGCTCGTGCCATATTCAATACGTATACAAAGGACCAAAAGTTGAACGTAAACGTATATCTATTCTAAAAAAGGTTTGACGTAAAACAGTTCGGATGTTTTAGGGTTTTAAATCGGTTTTCAAAGTTGTTAGTCCCCTCCCCTCGATTTTGGAACATCAAATGTCTAAACCAAAGTAGTTCAGAAGCAATTAAAAGGTATACGAATTCTGGACGTCTGAGTAAAACATCTACAGCATTAGTTGTGTATTGAATACCTTCAGAAATGATTTTTGTACAGTTTTTAAAAATCAATTTTTTTTATAGTCTTAATCGAGATTTCGTCACGTATTCTGTTGTCGTCCATTAGGGGATACTGATCCATAAGTACATCTTTAATATCTTTCGTAAATCGTACTGGTGCAATATATATTTGTCAACTATTGATGGCTCTCGATATCATCGTATAATTCAGTGATCTGATCCTGGTACTTCTTGGTTGCGTTCACACGCTTCAGCTTGAAGGTGGGTGTAAGCAGTTCATTGTCAATACTGAAAGCCTCAGGCTCTACGATGAAGTCTCGGAGCTTTTCAAAACCTTTGAGCTTACATTCCTTGTGCATGTCCAGTAACTCCGCAACCAGCATGGCCTTCAACTCAGCTGTTTGAGCAATACTCTTAGCATCGCCTGAGATGTTGTTTTCCTTAGCCCAGGCAACAATCATCTCCGCATCGGGTACAACTACGGCCAAAGGGTATGCGTGGAAGGAGTCGCCGGTTACAAACACCTGCGCAATATGGTCACACTTACCGTACATGGCCTCGAGGTGCTCGGCGGCCAAATACTCGCCCTGGGACAACTTGAAAATAGACTTCCGGCGATCAATGATGGACAAGGTGCCGTCGGCATTCCAACGGCCTACATCGCCAGTGTGGAACCAACCCTCGTCATCGATATCTTCCTTCGTCTTCTCGGGATTTTTTAAGTACGAACCGAACACGTTGGTACCCCTGACGCACACTTCACCACGAGGACACTCATCAGTAGTCAGGTAGTTCATCTCTGTAATGCTGACAAGCTTAACTTCATTGGAAGCCATCGGTGATCCCACATGGCCGAGTTTCGTATCGTTGTAATGGGTGAGAGTTGAACCTCCTGTTGTCTCGGTCAATCCATAGCCCACCATGATAACTGGGCACACACAGACGCGTAAGAACTCGTGTATAGCCGTCCCTAGAGGCGCTGACGCGGTGACGATCCATTCGACACGTCCACCAAGTGCCAATCCCATGCGATCAAATACCTTCTCATTGAGCACAGGGGTGTCCTCTCCGCGCTCCAATGCTGCGAGACGCATGTCATATGCGCCCCTGAAAGCAGCCTCCTTTTCAGGACCACCAGCCTTAACACCTTGGTTGATCTTGTCGTAGATGCGTGAAAGAATACGAGGCACGGCAATGAAGAAAGTGGGCTTCAAGGTCTGGATATCCAGCATCAGCTCGGGTAGTTTTCCTTGATAGAAACCTATGCTACATCCCCCGCTAACGCATAGCGCTTGTACCACTCGTTCAAAGATGTGAGCCAGGGGTAGAAATGAGAAGTGCACGTCCTGGTTAGATACGTGGAGACGTTGTTGAAGTGAAATTACATCGGCCATAACGTTGCTATGGGTGATCTGAACACCTTTGGGGTTGCCTGTGGTACCCGATGTGTACATGAGTACAGCAACATCCGATGCAGTGGGAGGATCGTGTGGGAACACGTTGTCCACGCCCATATCCTTTAGTTCTCGCAGGCTGAGTAGCTCAACGCCAGCTTTCGTGAATCTAGCCTTGTCTTCAGATGTGACAACATCAAAGCAAATGGCGTACTTGAGATCTGGTAGACCCATTCCGATAGCTGTTAGAAGGGACTCAAGGCGAATTTTCTCGAAGAAAGCAGCCACCATTTCGCTATGCTCCATAACGTAATGCACAGAATCAGGACCTAGTGTATCGTAGATTGCCACCGACGGCAAGGTGTACGACGACAAAGCATGATCAGTTAACGACTATTCCTTTCGATTTTTGGAGTATAATCCAACGGTCTGGTTTTTGCTAATACCAAGGCTTTTTAGTCCAGAACCGATCAGCGTAGCAGTATCGCTTGCCTCTAAGAAATTGATGAACTCGTAGTCTCCGACGCTTGTGCTACCATCTTCATTGTGCACAACCTTGCGTTCGCCTAGATATGGTCGGTCAGGATTCTCGGCAACTGTAGTTTGGAAGCTCTCGTACGTGGTGCAACGACCAGGTATGTCAGCCAGCAACTGAGCGGGCCACGTGGCTTCACCGTCCACATAGTTTGGAAAACGATGGGCAGACGATCCCCAGTCGGCACCAGGGGCTATAACGCTTTGCATCTTTAGATCTGGGTTCCGAGGGTTAGGAAAGCAAGACTGCTTCTCTTGGGGAAATACTTGCGGGTTAACCATCTTTTTACGTTATGTATTTGTTTTGATAGTTGATTGCTGTTGTGTAATGCAATTTTTAAACTGATATTTCGCCGAACGATAGAAGCCTTTAAATACAAAAGGTATCACCTTGCGATTATTAAAAATTCAGATTTGCTAGCACAATGTGCTTGTCATAACTTGAAATTTTCGCTTTGTGGCAGTGCCAACTGCCAAGAAAGTGACGTTTCTAGTTTTAGATTGTCAGTTTGAGCTACATACAAGTCTACAGTCTACACTCTACAACAACCACTGCAGTAGCCAGTACTACTATCTGTCGCTATTTACTATTTACTACTATTTACTATTTACTCTCTATGCAGTAGTAGAGACTAGAGAGAGAGAGTCTGAGAGCACACAGAGAGAGAGAGAAAATTGTCACTGGATGAAAAATGCATTTGTTGTCAAGATCCAGAGCCCAGAGGGCCATGACCTAATTAAGCAATAACTGATTGCAAATTTACAAGCGCCAAGCTGCATAAGACCATAAATAAGTTATGGGAAGTCTTGTTGTTTTGTAAATCAATAAGTTAAGGTAAGTCTTGTTGTTTTATAAATCAATGATAAGTCTTGTTGTTGTTTTTTTTTAAAACAACAACAATTATTTGTTTTCTCTAGAGATTAGCGCTATACTTCTAAGCTCATAACGTTAAATATGAGGGTACGGGATAGTCATAGAAGTTGAGCGTAAACGCATATTTAGCCATACTGCACTTTGTTTGTTTTTTTAAATTCTTTATTATTATATAAAAATAGATATGTGTATATATTTGAAAATAAATATTCATGATTCAATGATTCTACGGCGCTGGCCGGCTGGCAGTCTGGACTCTGGCGGTGGGACTTGAATGATCGAGTCAACCCCCCCCCCCTTTTTATTGCATATGTACAAATTGAGTGACAAAATATTGGTACAGAAATCAGAACTTGCAACCATGTCGTTTACCATGTCTGGTCTATTTCCACCCGATTAATTTGTGTACAAGAAGAGGCCGTTTTTAAAATTAAAATAAAGGGTGTAAATACTAAATAGACTGTATTTTTTAATATTTAGACTGTAAATATGGTGTAGACTGTGTACTCTTGTAGAGTGTAAATAGACTGTAGACTGCAGAGTGTAGAGTGTGGACTGGAGATTGCAGCCTGCAGAGTGAGTTGCAGTCTGCTGTAGAGTGTAGTATAGACTATACTTACACTGTAGTAGGAGTGTAGGGCTGAATGTATGAGCCAGCCTGTAGGAGTGTAGGATTGTGGGGAGTGGGGATTGGGGAGTGGGGATTGGGGAGTGGGGACTGTCAGTCGATCACTGGGGAGTGTATTTACTATTTAGTGGGGGCACTGGGGCACTGGGCCCACTGGAGAGTGTAGGCGACAACTCTACTACGCCTACTACAGTCTGGCTTGGTATGAGGTGGCTACAGTGTCGCCATGTTCGACAGGTAAACGACTGTCGGATACTGTCGGAAACTTTCTTATCGTTAACCTCCAGATTCCGCCATGACTATTATTGAGGTCAATACATATATTTCATTGGCTTACGGATATATTAAGTCTTTCTCCAAGGTGATAGGTTACCGACACTAGGTTTCCGCCAATGTCGCCATGTCGGAAAGGTTAACGACAGCGGAAACATATCGGAAATTTAAAATGTCATGTCGTTTACCAAGTTAGACTACAGTACTACTAGTAGTACTGTAGTAGTCGTAGCAGCGTAGGGAGTAAAAAAAATTCATAGGGCCACCGTTAGCTGCATTTTTTATCTATGAAGAACCACATCTAAGTAGCCGAGTCGTGAGTCGAGACACTCCTAATATAGTAATAAGTGTTCTGACGATTGGTTTCCACAATAATAGAACCGCATATGGCTATAAGAACCGCATATGGCCATGTCAGTTTTAAGTTTCTGACTTTCGAGTTTGATACTTTAATTGCCATTTTCAGTAATTTGTTTTCGAAATAAATACTCCAAAAAAATATTTATCTATATTGAGCCGATCGCTATTTTGTTTTTTGTAAACAAAAGCCATACACACCCCAATGATCCCAATCCATAAATGCTTAGCCAATAGTCTTTCTAAAAATATTAGTCAGAAGGATATGCAGGCGTAGTCATATTTTGTTGGGTTTGTGTATTTTTTTACTACAAAAAATAGAAGAGAAGCGCGCAGTAGGACAGGAAAGGGTAAGACAACTGGCTTTCTGACGGAGGCGGCGGAACCATAAGTGCCAAGTCTATATTCGGCCCCAGGTCTGATAAATATAATTTCTGATGTATATAAGCAATAGGGCTCTGTCTAGATAATAACAACAGTAGTACTGAATGTGTCTATCACTAGTTCACTGGATACAGCTCGATAGGAGCATTCATACTGTTTAGTGTATTCGAGTAAACTCAGTATACTATAACCAGAGTCAAACTACAATAGACGCATAAAGCAGACAATTAATACTCGTATATTCCAGATGTCTGTGGCAAAATCTCTAAGGTCTTTACCTGCATCTAGTAAGCATGCCTACGACTATGTGATTGTAGGTGGTGGAAGTGCCGGCTGTGTAATGGCCAATCGCCTTTCATCAAACCCCAATGTACGAGTTGCCCTACTGGAAACGGGCCTAGATGACAATACACCCTTGATCCGCAACCCCAGTGGTTTCTTTTGGACTGTTCCTTACAGTACGACGTATAATCACCGGTACTCTACTACGCCTCAGGAACATTGCAATGGTAGAAGCTTGTTTCAGCCCCGTGGGCGTGGTATTGGCGGCTCCTCTGCTATCAATGCCATGGTGTATATTCGGGGACTAAAGTACGATTTTACCAACTTGTGGGCTGGTGAAGGTAAATGCAAGGGCTGGGAGTGGGAGAATATTCTTCCCATATTCAAGAAGTTGGAATGTAATGATAGCCTTACGAATGATCCGTACCATGGCACTGAGGGACCTCTTCACGTGCGTACTCAAGCACATATCGGCCCGTACAGCGAGCGCATCGTTAAAGCAGGCAATGAGTTAGGATGGAAATCAACCAAAGACTTCAATGGCGAAGATCAGTCTGGAGTAGGGTATTACCAGTACACGCAAACCAAGGGTGGTCGTTGCAGCTCTGGTGTTGCCTTCCTTACCCCAGAGGTTCGAGCTCGTTCAAATCTGGATATCTTCGTTGACGCACACGCCACAAAGATTCTTACTGAAGGTAAACGTGCAACTGGAGTGAATGTAGTGGTATCAGACAGCTCTGATGCTGCTAACCCCGTCACATTTGAAGCAAGAAATGATGTTATCCTATGCGGTGGTGCATTCAACAGCCCTCAGTTGCTTCTGCTCTCGGGGATTGGTCCCAAGGACCAACTGGCCAAGCATGGAATTGATGTAGTCCATGAATTGCAGGGTGTGGGCCAGAATCTTCAGGATCATGCTGACATCTGCGTCAATGCGAAAACTTGGAGTATTAGCATGCCGCTGCAAATCGGACTCACCAACTTGCCCAATCAGATTAAGCACTTCTTCCTGGGCGTTTTCAAGGATGAAGGAGTGTTCATGGGAGATAATCAGATGGTCGGTTCATTCTTCAAGAGCAGACCTGACATTCCCGCTAACGATATTCAAATGCATGTCGCCCCCTTTTATTACAAGGATCACGGCGCTACTTTACGATACGGTGGTGGCATTACAATCAAATCGTGTTACATGCGCCCCGAGTCCCGTGGCACGGTCCTTTTGAAGTCAACTAACCCAATGGATGCCCCTCTAATCGATCCCAAATACTACGATGTACCGGCCGACTTCGACCCTATGGTGGCTGCAGTACGAAAGAGCATCGAGCTGATTAAGACCAAGGCCTTAGCTGAAGATAAACTGGTGGTCAGTGGCTTCGACGATAAGGATGTTGACAACCTTACGGACAGCGACATTGTGGAGTATCTACGACAGAATACAGAATCTATCTACCACCCGGTATCTACCTGTAAAATGGGACCGGCATCAGACCCTATGGCGGTTGTAGATCACTCTAATGGCCTTAGAGTACATGGCATGGAAGGACTAAGAGTCATCGATGCGTCCGTAATGCCTACAGTGGTGTCCGGAAACACAAACGCACCTACCATGGTAATAGCCCAGAAGGCTTACAATCAAATGATTGGCCAAGACCGAGTGGTCGATGTCACTGACGACGCAGCTGGTCTATAGGTGTTTCGACATTTTTTTTATCTATATGCCTTTAAACATGCTTTATAGCATAGTACGATTTCTAAATAAATAAGTGCACGCAACTTCGAATGTAGTACAATCTATTGTGTCTCAAATTATAATAGCAACCGAATATAATCTGTATCTACTCGATGTGCAAATAGATATACGACTGAAAAATGAATTCGATCAATACACGCACATATTATATATATTTTATATATGTGTGCATATAATATATTTAAACACACGCACACAGACATATATTTATACATATACATGTGTGTGTTTATGAATGTGCGTTATATACGTTTATATACACTCATATATATATATATACATAAATATGTATATATATAAAAACACACATATATGTATATATATATAAACACACATTTATAATATATATACATAAATATGTATATTTGTTCATATATATGTATGTATAAATATATTTATATGTATATATATATTTATTTATATATATATATATATATATATAATTATAATATAATATATATATGTTATATATATATATAATTATAATATAATATATATATGTATATATATAAATATATATATAGTTATAATATATATATGTATATGTATATAGACTCCCCCCTGACTCCACATACCATCGAGTCTTCATCCGTTCCCCTGGTTGCTCTACCCTCTCAAAAGCAATTGCTATCTCCAAACTCGTCATACGCAGCTTCCATCACCAGCACCACAGGCGCACCGTACGAATCGGGTTCGATACAGTACGCGTCTCGCTGGGCTCGTACAGCCGCTCTCGCGTCATCGGCGAAGGTGCTCCCGTTCCATGTTGCTATGGTAATCACCGCCTGCTCTATGCACCGTTGCCACATGTCTCCCTTGTTACCTCGGTTGACGTCTACATCGTCGTACGGAAACTCCTCTGCGCGTGTCATGTACGGGAACGTCCACTGAACAGCCTATCGTGCCATGCAGAGTGGTGGAAGAGGGCGTATCATCGGTTTGAGTTCGCAAGACGTTAGATCCGTATCGGAAATCAGAACGGTTTACGGGTACGTGTGATTGTGTTTGGTGGGCTAGGGGGCATGCTTGGCCTGTTGAAAGGAATAGCTCTACATGCCCCCCCAACCACTAACGTACCCTACATCATGTGTAAGCTTAGGTGTATGTGATGGCACACACGTCTACGCACTCGCTTAGCTCTTCACAGAAATACAACACAGACATCACAGTGATACCACAGCCACAGTCACAGTCACAGTCACACGAGTACAGCACACCTTCTTCAGTCGGTCCATGTGCGTGCTATCTATTCGCTCTGCCGTGGGGTCACGCGTTGCCATGGTAACCACTCGCATGTAGGGTGCTGGTTGTATTTGTATTTGAGTGAGAACGTGGGTGTATGTGTCTATGTGAACGTTCACGTGCGGCACAGTTAATGAAATGTGGGAGTATTTGTGTGAAATTATAGGCGATACTTCGATAGACATGTGTGAGTAACGACACGTGCTTGTATAAAACGGTGTGGTGTGTATGTGGTATTGTATGTATTTGTTACGTGCCTGTGGTTTTGTATGTATTTGTTGTGTGCAAAAACAGTGTTATGTACATCAACTAACTATATGTTAAAGTATCTTTGTCGTCTCCATTTAGCCGCGAATTCTTGTCTCTGGTCAATCTGGGGCGGGCCTGCGCGATATCCACATACGAGCGTTCAAGAAAAAAACCCCAGTTTTCTCAAGAAGAAAATCCTAGTTTTCGCTCGGCACAGCACACAAACAGATGCGCTCGTGTGTGGGTGTTGTCTGACAACCTTTCATGTGTCATCGCCGGGTATCCGTGGAAGGAGAATATCTATACATGCTATTTAGTGTACTCACAAGCGAGCATGTCCTAGAAAGTACCGAACTCCAAAAGCAAAACACAAGCAGGCACGACGTTCTGCTGTACGCACACAACCAACGCCCACAACCAAAGCCATTGTGTGCAGAAGCCACCGTATCACACACGCACCATGGTAAAAGTATGTGACTGTGTAACCACTAGTCACTTGATCAAAACTTGGTATTTGACGAGTCTGTATGTTGTCAATGATTCTGCTTACATGAAAATACACACACACACACCACACAACACACACACTACTAT